AATTTTTAAAATACGTTTTTAAACAATAAGCAATAAAGAAAACCAAATCCTGTCGGCGCCACTTAACTGATAAAAAAATCATAACTTTTGTCATGTTTTTTGGCAGAAAATGCTACTTTAGTAATATTCTGCATTGATAGGATAATAAGAAATTTGTTCGGATACTTAAAGCAAAGCAAGTCATTATTTACTGTTTCTATTACAGTAACTTCAATGAAGTGCTTGTATAAATGTTCTGTCTAACTAGTATGCCCACTCTGAGAAAGTATTAGAGATTTAGTTGAAAAACTAAGAGTCCATATCAGCGCATCGTAAATTGGTTTTCTTCGAAAAACGTTGCTAGCACAACAATAGTCCGAATGCCATCAATTGTCTACAAATCAAATGTTGGAGATAACATGATTCAAATTGATCTGTATTTTATGAGTCACGACCTGCTCGAAAGTTTTCATCAAACAAGAACTTGATACTATCAAAACAAAATTGAAGGCAACAGATCAGTGGAACAACATTACAAACAAAGCAATTGGAACTGGCGCTGTAAAACACTGTATGAAGCTGATGAGTGATAATCCCTTGCTGTTCTAATCCAAATTTTCTTTCATAATTGTCCAAAAAGGTTTTGAATCTGCAAACAAACTAGCCGTGGGGGAGCCGGAGATGTCATCCATTTTGCCGCAGCCGGTCCCACCTTGAGGAGACAGATGACACTGGGACCCCTCCAGCCGTAACCGAAGCGGGATTCGAACGCATGACCCTCGTGTTGAGAGACATGTTCCTAACCCACTAGACCACGGCTGCTCAAGAAAACAATAGTCAGCCATTGGTGTTAACTGGGAGAAGTATTCCAACATCTTGCCATCTTACCATGAAATTAAAATGTATATTTTCATTTTTGCTCAACTTTATCAGTTTAATTGAATAAAACTAGACTGCTCGTATCAGGGTAAAGCCTTGGATGCTCCGACTGCCCATTAATTGGTCTCGAATCGTTTGTGATAAATAAAATATTGACAAAGTACAAATTTTAGGCTGACAATATCAAAGTGCTAGAATTTGAGTCGTTTATGGAACTATTAAGACCAATTACCTAGCCTCAATTCAAATTGGAACAATTATGAGTGTTGATAATTTGCCACGTAAAAATAATTCGAGTTTTGAAACAAAATATCGAAGTATTGATCCTGCAGCAAAGCCGCACGCTGGCGAAGTGCAAGCAAAGTTGCTTGGCAATCACAAGATATCCGGATCGATGCCCATACACAGTCAACTTTTCCAAAATTGGTCCGAAAAAAACCACCCGGGCATATATATTCCTCACTACCTTAAAAAATCGGAACAATAAGTGATAAAACTACAGGATTTCTTAGTGTGGAACGATAGATTATTCGGGATCAACTCTTATTAAGCGTTAAAATCAGATTTTGGAAAATCGGAATAATAAAAACGCGCAAAGAAAACGTTTTCTATATGTGTTAAATTACTCAAAATGATCAGGAACGCAATATTTTAATTACTAGATGCAAAGATTATAAACTTAATTATTCTACTAGTTAAATTATATAACAAAAACTATAATTCCATTTTTATTACATAGCATAGTAGATGTTTCGAATTATAATAGGCTAAAAAAATCATAGTAATAAGAATTGACTCAAACTGAGTTACATGAAACAAATGGTTTTTTCTTTTGTTTTCTTTTGATGCTTCTGGCTTTCAAAATTGCTGTCAAAATCGTTTTCTAGTTTACTCGATTTCAAATTGTTTTCAATTTTTTTTGAAATGCGTAAAAATAAAACTCTCTTGAAGTGTGTGAACGAATATTTCACAAAAACAATTTTTTGAAAACTTTCTTTTTGGTCAGAGTACCGCAGTCGGGCTAAACTGTTGTCCGTTTTTCATTGCCTTTGAAGTTGCTTAGCGTATTTGTTGAACGTCCTTGCATTATAAATATTTCATTAAACTCAAAATTTCTCCTAATAAATGTTATAGTTATTAAGACCAGTCTTCAGTTTAGCCGTTTCCTCCGAAATGTTCTTTGATTCAAAACTAGTAGAGTTGCATGATAAAATTAAACAATTTCTCAATCAAGAAAAAAAAGCAAGTTTTAGCGTTTTTATCACACAAACTTCAGATGCAGTCTGATTTTTCCCTTTTGCTGAGTGAGACTCATCAAATGGCTCGAGTTGGATCAAAACTTGCAAATTCCTGTTTTAGAATCGTAATTTGGTCTGTCAAACTCGTTACAGCTATTTCTAAAAACTCAACCCATTGGCCGTACCTTATAAACAATTGTAAAATTTAGACGGATACTTTTTCTGTTTTCTGAATAAAGTGACGAAATATTAATGTTTCTGGTTCAAGCCAATGCTTCTTTGAATTAACAACTTTTAATGGCTCTTTGTACAATTTGAAAGAAATTGAAAAAAAAATCTGTTCTCTCCGTCAGGTTTTGTGATGTTGTGGGGGTGTCAAAGATGCCAAAGGCTGACAATATTAGGCTGACAATTTTAGGCTGACAATATCAAAGTGCTAGAATTTGAGTCGTTTATGGAACTATTAAGACCAATTACCTAGCCTCAATTCAAATTGGAACAATTATGAGTGTTGATAATTTGCCACGTAAAAATAATTCGAGTTTTGAAACAAAATATCGAAGTATTGATCCTGCAGCAAAGCCGCACGCTGGCGAAGTGCAAGCAAAGTTGCTTGGCAATCACAAGATATCCGGATCGATGCCCATACACAGTCAACTTTTCCAAAATTGGTCCGAAAAAAACCACCCGGGGCATATATATTCCTCACTACCTTAAAAAATCGGAACAATAAGTGATAAAACTACAGGATTTCTTAGTGTGGAACGATAGATTATTCGGGATCAACTCTTATTAAGCGTTAAAATCAGATTTTGGAAAATCGGAATAATAAAAACGCGCAAAGAAAACGTTTTCTATATGTGTTAAATTACTCAAAATGATCAGGAACGCAATATTTTAATTACTAGATGCAAAGATTATAAACTTAATTATTCTACTAGTTAAATTATATAACAAAAACTATAATTCCATTTTTATTACATAGCATAGTAGATGTTTCGAATTATAATAGGCTAAAAAAATCATAGTAATAAGAATTGACTCAAACTGAGTTTTATGAAACAAATGGTTTTTTCTTTTGTTTTCTTTTGATGCTTCTGGCTTTCAAAATTGCTGTCAAAATCGTTTTCTAGTTTACTCGATTTCAAATTGTTTTCAATTTTTTTTGAAATGCGTTAAAATAAAACTCTCTTGAAGTGTGTGAACGAATATTTCACAAAAACAATTTTTTGAAAACTTTCTTTTTGGTCAGAGTACCGCAGTCGGGCTAAACTGTTGTCCGTTTTTCATTGCCTTTGAAGTTGCTTAGCGTATTTGTTGAACGTCCTTGCATTATAAATATTTCATTAAACTCAAAATTTCTCCTAATAAATGTTATAGTTATTAAGACCAGTCTTCAGTTTAGCCGTTTCCTCCGAAATGTTCTTTGATTCAAAACTAGTAGAGTTGCATGATAAAATTAAACAATTTCTCAATCAAGAAAAAAAAGCAAGTTTTAGCGTTTTTATCACACAAACTTCAGATGCAGTCTGATTTTTCCCTTTTGCTGAGTGAGACTCATCAAATGGCTCGAGTTGGATCAAAACTTGCAAATTCCTGTTTTAGAATCGTAATTTGGTCTGTCAAACTCGTTACAGCTATTTCTAAAAACTCAACCCATTGGCCGTACCTTATAAACAATTGTAAAATTTAGACGGATACTTTTTCTGTTTTCTGAATAAAGTGACGAAATATTAATGTTTCTGGTTCAAGCCTATGCTTCTTTGAATTAACAACTTTTAATGGCTCTTTGTACAATTTGAAAGAAATTGAAAAAAAAATCTGTTCTCTCCGTCAGGTTTTGTGATGTTGTGGGGGTGTCAAAGATGCCAAACTGGGGAAGTTGCGGCGAAATTTTCACTAGTTTTCTACGCATGCGTAGCCTATGTCATAATAAAAGCATTCTTCAAAGAATTGCGCAACTTATTAGTTAGAAACACTAGCGTAGCAGCACTTAAAATACCAGCACGAAAAATAAAAAAAAAACGAAAAACAAAAGTGCAAAGAAAAGGTATATAAATTGAATTTTTCAAAGCTGTGCTGGAATCAAACCGCAGACCACGAGTCGCACGTCCAAGAACCTGCTCGATATTCACCACTCAACACTAGGCAAACAAGCAAGCAAAACTTGCCAATTCTATGCGCCAGCAAAACTTGCCACCATATGCGCACTTTTGAGTTTTTAGAAAATGAATTGATGATACAACACCACGCTGACTAGTGTAAATACCTTGTTACTGGATGAGAAAAATATCACTTTATACTTCTGTTGTTCTTAATAAAGTATATAATTATTAATTTGCTGTCTTTGCACTATTTAGAGAGGTAACAGTATATTGCCGTATAACAAAAAAATCGTATAACTAATAACCCGACTAGCGTATACGTTTGTCTCTAACACTCAGAAACAGTTTTGATGCTGGAATTGAGCCGCCCCTAATGTCAATCAATCTTGCAGCACTCAACGAAAAATCCTTGTCACGCAAAAAAGAGTCGAGCCATTATCGGTTTCGTATAATTTATCGTATAAATTTGATCTCTCGTATGTATAACCGAACAATCTTATATCGGTTGAGGGTTTTTTCGCTTAAGTTGTTGTATATCGCGTGCAAAAAAATTGGAGATAACCAGACTTCTCTTAGCTTACCAAAAAACGTGCTCATCTCTTTATATAAAGAAAATCAACAGGCTGAAGAGGCATTGACCTCATAAGCAGTTTAACCTCGAGAACAAATTATCTTTGAAATTATCATCCTTGGACTGCAGAAAATAAAATACGTACTAGAGGTCGAAAAATGTGGTCCAAACGTTGTACTGGTCAATTTAGCAGAGTAAAAATCAAGTCCATTTTTTTTGCCAACTAAACGAGTTACTTAAAACTGTATTTAAAATCTATTTTATGAAAAGATACAAGGGCCAGTCGCAATTGCATTGTGCATATCATAGGTAGAAATACATCATCTATGCTTCATTTCAGAGTTTTCTGTCTCTAATAAGACAACACAAATTCATATTCTGCATCAATCAAATAATTGAGCGCCTTTATTTGTATATTTTTATCAAACAACAACTATTCTGATATCAGTTTTTGCCAACCAAAAATTATAATCATTTGCAAATTAGTTTATTCCAAATTAAATCATTTTTTCTGTACCCGCAGAAATATCCCAAAATTGGTATTTTCCTCACTAAACTCATCTTTACAATGATTTCTAGTTTTTTTTCTGCTCACAAACCAAAATAAATTTTGGTCCTCGAGGGGTTCGAACTCAGGCCCACTGATTTAGAGACAAATAAGCTCAAATTGCTTTCGTGCCTGAGCTGGTAGTAGTGGACTGCGATGAATTCAGAGTTATATGGTTCAGAGTTTCTTCCAGTTCCTTGATTCGACGTTGCAGTGCCTCCCGCTCATCCGGAGCAGCCTGGCAACTCGGTTGACTCTGGGCGCCGTTAGATCGGGACATTTCGAGACCTCTGGGAGGCAACACGGGCGGGATATTTTGGGCGGGGTTTTGACCTCCGGTCGTTTTATGGGGGGGAACGGGACTTTCGTTTGCACTGTCTAGGCGCTTCATTTTTTCGAAGTCGCACGGGGGATATTGCTTCTCATCGTACAAATTGCTGACCGCGCCTTGTTTTGGGTTTCCGTTTGCGTGTGGGTTCGTGGGAATTTTTCCGGCGTTGCCTTGTCGGTTTAAGTATTGCGAGTTGAACTGGCGCAAATCTTCGCTCATGTCTGGCAGCTGGTTGCATCCGGTTGGATTCTTTGGATTGTTCTGATTTTGAATCATAAAGTGTCCATGAGATCCACTGGTCGAGGAAGACCTCTGATGCGCTGAAGTAGTGGTGGACTTAAGATGAGGTTGCGACTGTTGCGAACCACCGGATCCTCCGAGTTTACCGAAGTTCTCAGAGGGCAGTGTCAAAATGGGGATCTTGGACACTGACTCGTTGTCACCTACGAAAAAAATATTTAACATCTCTGCTGGTGTTATCTGTATCATGAACTGCTCGTGCGCTGTATACTGCAGCGAACTGAGCTACTTAAATTGAACGCTGACTATGTTTTAACTGAATTGACTTCAAAGTTCAAGTTAGATCTCAAACAAGGTCATTTTTGTTGTCAGCCCAAGTTATTTGTTTGCTATTTATCCAACATTTGTTGTTCTTTCAGAGAAATCGATCAACGCAGTGATAATTATTGGTAGTTAATGGACAATAAATGGTTTCAAGAACTTTTGTGAGTTAAACAGAGTAACAAACCAACCGAAACACGACTCGTTGTCGTCAAAAGCAGTCGAGCTCGTTTCTAGTCGAGGTCGGCTCTTCCTGCGCACAGTGCCGTACTGTTGAACATTAGTCGCGTAAATGTCCATCTGATAGTCCAAAATATCAGAGATGGAATCAGCCTTGCCCTGCCCTCCTCCACTTGAGTGGCTGTGAATCGACAAGTTAGCCGAACTGTTCACAGGCGACGCTCCACGACTTCGTTGTGCTAACGAGTTATTCGTCGCTGAACTGCTCGAACTCTGTATACTGCAGCGAGCTGAGCTAGTCGTCGACTTTTCGCTCACGAGAGGCGATTCTCGCTTCGTGGCACTGTGATGACGCGACGCTGGATTCGGTTGTCCCAAGGGACTACTGGTGGTCCACGGAGTCTTAACTGGAAATGAATCACTTGGTGTCTTCACGCCGACGTCCGAGTTCGACGCGGTCGATGAGCACTCGAAAGCTCCGCTGTCCCGGTAACACTTGTTGCCCTCGCCAGTTCCGACACTGGAAGATCCGTCGCCGATGCTGTGTCGTCGGCTCAGACCGGAGTCGCTATGCGCTCGGTCGGAGGAGCCTTGGAGTCGGCTGTCCACTCGCTGGTATCTGGACTCGCACCAATCTTTGAGCGACCGATCCACTCGCATCTAAAATTTAACATTTTATTAGACAACTAAAGAAAATTCTTTGAAAAATGTTGGGAACTAAGATAACAGGAAACATTTAGACCTCGGATGACTTAATTCTGATGGCTGAGTTAATTTCTGATGGCAGTGCTATTGGATGCACTTATTCGATCGCCCAAGGCTAGTTCTAAATTATTGTGATCAATTGACAAATCAATTTCAACTTCTGCAAAAACTTCTTTTGTTTTAGAGGAAACAAAAAAATTACCTCAGTCTTTCGTATCTCCTCTGCTATGGCCATTCTCTCCTGAATGATCTTCTTGTCCATGCGCTGTATGGCCTCCGTCTTCTCCCCTCCCACTCTGTCCTTGAAGATCTTGTCCAGACTGTTCAGCTGGTGTCTCACCTGGCAGAAAAAAAATACTTATGCTCAGCTAGCAGAAAAAAACTACTGAGCAGAAAAAAACTAAATATGTGAGTTATGAATAAATTTACTTCAAATTCTACCAATACATTGAAAATTTACCGCTTCACAGAATGTAGCACAGAACTTTTCCACCATAGTCTTAAAAACTACGAAAAAAGTTTTTTTTTTTCAAATTAGTGTTTTTTATGCGTGGTGTGATACAAGGAAAAACTAGAACTTAGGCATATTTGATAGTCATAGTAAGCAAATTGAAAAAACAATTTTTGCAGAAAAATTACAAGAAAAATCAAAAAAATGGTAAAAATTTTTTTTTTTCTAATTTTCAAAAAAAAAATTTTTGAAATTTTTCAAATTTTTTTTCTGAAATGCTTTATCTTTTTGATACCTAATAAGGCGCTAAAAACTCCATAAACTAACTCTACTTATATAAAACTAAATTTTCAAGGCTTAAATTAAGCTATGTATGCCTGCTCACTCGCTTGAATTTTGAGAAAAATCTTAGAAAAAAATTTCGGGAATTTTTTATGTGGTTTAGAATCACGACTGAAAGGGCATTAATATGATATATCACTCATCCCAGTCCGATGATTATTTGTGGTATCTGAATTTGAGTGGAAAACCAAAAACGAAAAAAAAACTATAACACCAGAATACAAAGTTTCTTCCCATTTTCAATTGTCGGAACAAAAAAAGTATAAAAAAACACACCCGAATACTAAGTTCCTCCCCATTTTTCAAATGGTCGGAATAACAAATAGACATTTTTACCTTCGCTCTTTTTATTTTTTCCCTCTCTCACCTCACATAACGGAAAGCGTCACAGAAGCATCATTTTTTTTTGGTGTAAATGATTATTCCGCATACATTTTTTTGTAACAATAAAGGGCTATGTGCACAAAAAATAATACCTTACAGGTAAAATCAGCAGGTGTGGGGGGAGGGAAGTAAAAGGAAAAAAAGCCTTACCTTCTTGTCAAGCTCGTCCATCTTCCTGTCTGTACTGCCCATAGAGTACTCCATCTTCTCCAGAATGGCCAGTTTGAGATGTTCGACCTTGCGGGCAACCAGGTCCAATGTTTGTTCACACTGACAATGACACGCATTCGAGTAGGACCGGTCCTGCGAAACACCACTTGGAAAGTCAGAAATCAGAGCAAGGTCTGGATTAAAGTAATAATCTCATCGGATCTACTTAACAATTGCCCCCCCCCCCCCTTTTTAAGAAAGGGGGGGGGGGACAATTGTTAAGTAGATTAAAATAACGCATTTTTGACCAATCGGAATGCAGCAAAGTTCTAATTCTCAATAAAAAGCGGATTTACTGCTTATATTAATAGGGATGGCAATTCTTGGGTAGATACCAAACGGGGGCAATTGCTAAGTAGATCCGTCTCATCTATTGTATAAAAGGAGAGATTCGTCAGAAGGGTCCATATTTGCAAATGCGTCACAGCTGAGCCCTCGTACGAGGGAGGGGTGAGGGTGTTTCTTAACTAGATCCTAAAAGCGCATAATTTGGCGATGGCCATTCTAAAACTTTTTAACAGCTCGCAGAGTAACTTGAACAAATTTGGTCTGCCTTAAATCCATTTTTTTCCATGACGTCTTTTTTCAATTTGCGAAAATTTTGCATAATTTGGATTTACTCAACATTTACCCCCTTCACAGAAAGGGGGTACTAGTTATAAGTAGATTACATTATTCGAATTTTCGACAAAATCAGAATGCAGCAAAATTAGAATTTTAAACAGAACGCTCTAGTGCTGTTTACTGCTTTTACTAATAGGGGGTGGCAATTCTTTAGTAGATTCCATGGTAAGGTGGGGGGGGGGGGGTGCAATTGTTAAAAAGATCCCATAATTTAAAGGATAAGAAATGTTCCACTTACCCTTTCATGTGTGCTGTCGGCAACTGACTCGAAGTGCTCACTGTCGTGCTTGCTGCCTCTCGGAAGTGCCGAACCCCCCGAGACACCCGCCGACTGCCTCCCTCGCGAGGAGTGCTTCACCTGTTGCGACACGACACTATTCGTCGTGTTGTCGTCATTCACGCCTCGGGGAATATTTCCGGGTTTGGTGAGGAAATCTCCGTCGTATACCTTGTACGTGTGACCCCCTCCTGTCGGGGGAGCCCCGCTATTGACCCCTCCTCCCCTCTCACGTGACCGTCTCACTCCGTTTTTGTCAACTGTACTCAACGAAGACGCCGATAGACTGCGGCCTGAAATTATATCAGGTTACTTCTGCTGCCATCGATTAGACCATTTTATTAGAGATGTAACCGGGATCAATTTTACTGGAATTCCGGAATTTTTAACTGCCGGATTGAGGATTCGCGAACCAGATTCCGGAATTCGTTCATGATGCTGATGAGTATAGCTGCACAATGCATCTGTTTACGTTGGCTAGCTGTGTTTCACTGTGCTGTGTGCAGCAACGTCATTTCCGTTAAGCGGAACAGAATGACTCCGGAGCTTTCGGAAAAACTGGTTTTGTTCCATGACAACATTCCATTTTTCACTTTTGAACCAAAAACGTTTGAAAGTTAGTTTTTTGGTCGGAGATATAGTAAAATCGTTCACGAAATTCTGGAATTTTCCGGTATTTTTTAACCGGATTCCGGAATAAACTGTGAATTTTGCCGGAGAGCCGAATTTCGGTATTCTTTTTTCTACCTTTTCTCAAAGATACAATTATTACAAGCAACCCCAAGAATTCCACTAAACCGCTATTATAAAACTTTCTCGATGCTATTTTGCAATATTAATGGCATGAAAAAACTGGGATCTAGAAAATACCTGAATATTAAAAATTCGAAAAAAAATTAAGCTCCACTTTTTAAACAGAGGCGAAGTGGAGCTTCGCACCACTTGCGACACCACACAAACATTTAAAAAAACATAAAAAGCCGAAAAAATGAAAAATAAAAAAAATAATGAAAAACTAGGTCACATAAAATTTTATATGTCTCGGTAGAAATTCATTCCACGAAAACATGCCAGACGTTTGAATTTTAAAACAGCCACAACGGAGCAAAATCTACGAAAAAAAATAAAGCCGACAATCTTTGAGCAGGCATAAGTTGAGCCCAAAAAATGATTTAAAAAAAAGTTTCAAGTCCCACCTTAATCAATAATGGACGACACTTTCACTAGCAACTACAATGAAAGTTGTTTACAGCAAAAGAAAAATAAGTAATATGGTAACTAAGCCAACAATCTTTGAACCGAAAAAAAATGATTTTTTAAAATCTTTCAAGTCCCCACTGAAACTAGAATGAACAGCATTTGCACTTGCAACTACAATGAAAGTTGTTTACAGCAAAAAAATCAGCGATGTGGCAACTAAGCCGACAATCTTTGAGCGGACGCCAACTGAATCGAAAAAAGATTTTATGAATTTTTTTCAAATCTTTCATTTCCCCCCTGAAATTAGAATGAACAACACTTGCACTTGCAACTACACTTGCACTTGCAACTATAATTGTCTACAGCACAAGCAAAATCCGTTGTGACAATTTAGTCGACAAAACTTGATCAAGCAAATGAAAAAGCAACAATTCATTTTTCTCGGAAATTTTTTTTCAATTTCCTTGATACTAAAAATAAACAAGTTCTGGCCACGACTCGAACCCCAGAACCTTAGGGTACAAAAGCAACTGATTTATCTCCAGGCAAAGGGGAAGCAACCTGGAAGACGTAAGAGAAGAAATAAGAAAATAAGTCAGCTGCATAGTCAGCAAGTGATTCAACTGATTTTGTTAAGCTAGGTGTTAACAAGAAAAAAATAAAATATTCCAGTTTGATAGCGCTTGCTAATCGCAAGCGTAAATATACTTCACAAGCAATAAGTTAGAGGTGCATTTGATGAGATCCAAAATGCAATTTACAAGGTGAGCTCTTGTTAGATAGCCATAGCGGCTCTTTTTCAGTCCCCCCCCCTTTCAAATTCAATTTTGAAAAGCTTATTTAACCTTGTCATAATGCAATGAAATTTGGCGTGGTGAACAAATCGACAACTGTGAACAGATTTGTTCTTCATACTTTACAGCGTTAAATCACGCATTTAGCCGTAATAACAGGTAAAACAAACATAAAACTTGGTATTTTGAAAGGGGGGACTTGAAAAGAGCCGCCATAGCTTAGTTAACCTTAAATAATTAAACTTTGGGTGAGACATCTGGCTGGTTACTTAAGAAATTAAATAATTTAAAAAATAACTGGACTCACCCATGCGTTTCGATCTGCGCTGGTGTGCGTGGGAGGATCGATCTTTGAGGTATTTCTTCATGCTTTTATGCTGGGCATGTTTCGAATAAGAAGACATTTTACTCTGCTGCTGCATTTGAATATTAGCGGGATCCTGCTGCCGATGGTGGTGGCGCATCCGGCGCTCGTTCTGCGACTCCTAAAACATACAGAAAGCAATCATAACAACGATAGCCGGATGTTTTGCAGGTAGCACAGAAGGTTCCGACCATATTTAAAAAAGCTACAAAATTCGAGGGTCTGACAGAAAAAAAAATTCGAAATCCAGACTATGATAGGAATTCAGATCTGAAGTTGAGGTGAAATGATTCAAAATAAAAACAAGCAACTGAACAATTTTTATATTGTAAGTTGATAATTTGTCCAATTAGGAAAACTTAACATGGTACCGCACTTTGTTTCTTATGTGTTTACAAGACTTGTGTTTAATTGCAAAATATATCCAAAATTAAACTCCATATGTAAGGCGCTAGTTTGTAAGGTGATAGTAGATCTCAAGTTCTAAGGAGTTTAGCCTTCATAGTAAATCTTATGCTCATCTATAATTTCGACAGCTATTTATCAAATTTAGCTGGGAAGAATATGAAATATTTCGTTGTAATATACTAAAAAAAAACTTGCCTTGAAACTCAAATGGTAACTATTTTTGCAACTGACATATTTTCGAAATTCATATTTGTGCATTCCAGCTGATTATGCCAAAATAAATTTCTAAAAATGACGAAAACATCTACCTGTAAATCTATATTTGAATCTATCGCCTATTTTAGCTCATTAAGCTAATCCGGCCTTGAAAAATCTGTCAAAATCACATTTATTAAGAACACTAAACTAATACTAACTTATTACTAGCGTGTCTGGACATCTAAAGTCATCTTGACACAGTTCTCAATGGGAGCAAGTTTCCCTTTTGTATTTTTTATTCACAGTAGTTTGTCTACTAATGTCGGCATGATCAAATTCCTATCTTTGATCTTTTCGACGAAATCGACCGCCACGACGTTTAAATCAACAAAATCAGGTCGACCACTGAAACTTATTCACATGCAATAATTAGCTCAAATCCAGGTGTAATTAAGCATATTTTAAGCCCCTTTGATCTTTTGCGGCAGGGATCTCAGGTAATTAAAAGATACCAAACCAACCAAGGGGGGTCGGCGTCAATATTTTCCAACCGCACAACGAAACCCAAATCCTTTTCCTTAAATTCAACTTTAACTTATGCTGGTATTTTTGATAAAAGCCTACCCGAAACTAATTATTACACTATAAAACCCAACACTTGCGGGCTTGTTTTAAAACATACAAATTAGATTTCAACTGTGATATGAGGGTTGTTGGAGGTCGATGTCATAGATAGCAAGTTTGAGCAAACGGGTTCAAAGAAAAAGAGGCGGGGATTTTTGGGCAGACAGCTGGGGCTCTTTGGTTTCCTGTCCAAACAGAAAAATCGGCGACTTATTTGCTAGTTGCAATCTCTTAACGTGTATTAGACCAAGATTTGTTCTCAGTTCAAATAATTGTCAGCCCTTTGTAGTGTTAAATCGTACAAACAGTTTCCCAATGAGAGCTACATAAGACCGCGACATCAAACCTACCACTAGTCTCTGACTAAACTGGGATCTCTTATAACTTATTATAACTGACTTAGTGATTCATTTATTTGCGATGCCATACAAACCATAAAAGCAAAGAGATCCATAGCCTAAGCCAAACAGGATTCCGAAATGGCATTCTAACTAAACCCTCACTTTCCAAGAAGGTAATCTTCGGGCAGTTTTCAATTACATTGATTATAAATAATGGTGTATTAGCACCTAGCAGAACCCAAAACAACCATTTGACTGTTAGATCACAAATTAAAGCTCCGCAAATGTGTGGCTCAAACGCCAAAACGTCAAAAACAACATGTTCGAGCGCTTGTAGAATTAACACCGAATAACAAATGAGTTCTTGTTTTGGTTGTCAGAAATTTTGTTGATACTGCTTGTAATAAAATAGTTTATGAAAACAGTAGAAATTACATGTGATATTCGAAACACCGCGGGAACATTATCAACAAACTCACTGGATTCGAAACCTGAAGAATCTGAATGGAAAGCTAAATTTTCGAAAAAAAAACTTTTCAAATTCTCTTCAAAGTTTCATCAATCTTCACGAAAAAATAAATAAATTTGCACATTCTGTCAAAGAAACGAATGTCTAAAACCTGACTGTTGATTCATTCTTCGGTAAATTAAGGCAATGAAATCAACTTTTTGCGGAGTTCCCTGTTTTTGAAGGGTCCTTGATGTTTAAATCAAATTGAGTTCTCAAAAATGTCAAAGCTCGACTTACCAATTGACTCATTAAACGCTATTTCAAATAGTTATTTTGGGTAAATTCAGGTAGCTTTTGACGGTCATAGACTAGGGAAAAATTATGCTTAGAAAACAATTTGAAATACACTTTAAAGTGTCGTTTTCGCTGTAAAAAGACTTCAAATTTTCTAAAATAAGATTAAGAACTAAATAACTGTCAAAAAAGATCACTTTGAAGCGTATTCAAAACTATTTCAAAGCACATTTTTAGCAAACAATTGAATTTAAATTTAATCGATTTCTTCCTGACTTATTTAATTACTGGTTAAAAAGTTTACAGTTATCAATCATTTTGATGACAATTCAAAAGTCAAATTCTTCAATTTTCTCAACAAAATCTGATGAAAAGAAATGTTGAATTGCATCATAATAAACATTGACTGACGTCATCATAATTGTTGACTTACGTCATAGTAGAGGTTTTCTAATGGGTAAATTCCATGCTGTGGGTGGCCATATTGACCTTGATTGTGGGAGGACGTCATGAATTGACTACTCAACGAATCCCTGTGCTGTTCGTGTGTTCCTCGTCCGGAGTCCTTTGAGTTCTTCGAGGAGTTCTGACTTCCACACTCGCTCATAGGCATGTAGTTCGAGAACCCTGCCGACGATCCGGCACTGTTCGAGTTCTCATCTCTGTTGTTGTTGTTTATGCTTGAGTAATTGTGATTTTGCAGCTTCTTTGAAGCAATGGGCGTGGCTTGGGGGGTGACCTCGGCAGACATTACGGGGTAGTTTTGAGCGGGGAGGAATGAGGCGGGCTGAGGGGGGACTGTAGCGGGCGGGCGCGATGTCACCGGGTGAACACCGGAAGCGAGGGAGATATTTGGCGGTTCAAACTGAAAATAAGGAAACTGAAACATTTTTGAGCACTTTTCGGACGAGTAAAACTGTTCATAAAATCGCAAAAATTTTTTAGCAATATATTGAATATAAGCAAAACTAATATTTTTAAAGCTAATTTCATAAATTGTAATATTTTCTAGCTCAGAAAATCTAAAATAAGACTGAAAAACGAATTCATTCATACATACCTTTCAAAAAATTCTTTTGTTATGCATCAAAAAGTTCACGCAGTTTTGACATAATTTTGTCATCTGTCATTTCTGAATGACTTTTTATAACTCTTAAAGTCTATCAAAAATAAGTCTGTCTAATCCTTTCAAAAATTATTACAAGAAGCTATTTTTGAAAACCTTTACCGCACAAAAGTTCAAAAGAAAAATGTTTTCAAGCTCGGAGTGGATTATGAATTCTGTTTGCGTCTCAAGAAAAGACATAAAGTGCAAATTTTCCTCAGCTAATAAAACCATTGCTGACCATTTAACTAGTTCTTGTGATGGTTTTGTTTTTTACAGCTCAAAATACCAATTTTTACGTCAAAATTTGACTTTGTCCTACAATTTTTGACCTCATTGTCAAAAAATTTCGATATCGATACGCAAAAAGTACTTCAACGAAATTAAAAAAAAAAAAACGTTTTTTTTGTCTTGAAAAATCAGAAAAGAAAAAAATGCAAGAAAAAAAGTAAATGATTTTCGTTTTATTATAAAAAATAGACATTTTTTCAATAGTAACTCGAAAACTAACCTGATGACGAGATGGATCCGGTAAATCACCCGGAGTGAAAACGTCTGACGGGTTTAAATAAATCTGCTGGTCATTATTGCTACTAATTCCCCCATTACCGCTACTACTACTACTGCTGTTCTGCTGCATTGATAGGTGAACTATAACTGGGTTTTTGGGGTCGGCTAATTGGGAATTGTTCTGTTTGGACTTCTGACTTGAGGAATTTCCGATTGAAGAAGTTCGAGACTTGATGAAGTTTTTCATGTTGAATCCGTTCGAGTTCGTAAACTGAGCGGGTGGAGTCGAATTTGGGTAGTTAATATTTGTACTAACTGGGTTATAACTTGACACGCTGTTATTTGAATTGGCCGACGGGAAAACCCCTGTCCCGGTTGAACTCTGTAACAGAAGAACGCTCATTTAGCATAAAATCAACTTTTCCAAAACATAACCAGTATGAAAATCTCTGAGAAAAAATAAGTAAAAATAGACTTAAAGTCTCAATAGGCGAACTTTAAAGCAGACTTACATTAATAACAACATTTTTAAATAAGAAAGTAAAAAAATCAAATTATCCTTTTTTATCCGGACGATTTATTTTTTACAGCAAAACTGAACAGCGGAATTGTTTTCCTTTTGTTCTCAACTTGTATTAGGTAGATAAATAAAGATAGCCCCAGAAATAGTTAGTGGAAAAATCAATCCCGTCTTTGATGACTCAAAAAATGAATGCGCTGGAAAATCGAGGCAATTTTTCAGAAGATTGCAAAAAATTGCCTGAAAGCCTATCAGGCAAATTCAGATTTATGCTTAAAATTCATATTTTTGCTGAGGATTTCATTAATGAGTGAAATACAATACTCTAATTACAATGGAAGCCAGTCCTATTCAACTAAGCGAAGGCGCCTCAATTGTATAAGACAATTGAAATAAATTTTTGTAAGGATCTTAACTCCACTAGAAAAAACTCAGTTTTGAAGAAAAAAGTTCGAATAAATATGGAAGAACCTGGCTCACTTATGCTTTGAATTGCACCTCATTTTTAAGTAATTTTTTCAATTTGATCTCAATAAATGGGAATTAGCCCATTTTTGTTAAGACTTCAAATAAATAACAGCAGCGTAAAACTATTTTTAACTTCAGCATCGAACGAAAAAATGCATATGAAACACATCCAGATTTAAACATCCGGATAGAATTTGTATGCACTCGGTTAATTTTTTCTCATTTCATTTACACAACTATTGTTAATTAACGAAAATAACACATAATTGGAAAGAAGTTATAGAAAAAGCCAGCAAAACAAAACTAAATTGATTTTCTTACCAGTAGCAAATTTTCCAGTGCGTGATCAAAATTATATTAGCAAATGATCCAAAAAATTTTCTTCCGGTAGATTTATCAAATCTCGAACTTTCTCAGCTCAATAAAATTTTCTAACTACTTAATTTTTTTTCTGAATTTACAATTTGAATAAAAAGTTTTACTTTGATTGATGAGGCTTTGCATATTTAGACAATTAAGCAGGTATCACTTATGCGTCAAAATCAACAGAGTTATAAACATCAAAAAACAATAGAATTAATTTTTGAAGAGATCTGAAGCCGAAGTTGTAAAAAGAGCTTGCGAAGAGCCGTTTTAATAACAAGCTCTTCACCTGAGCTTTCTATCAATACAATTTTGAGCTCTAAAATGAATTAGTTGTATGAGTTTTCTCTCAAATACAACAGAGGTAATATTATCTATCAAAGCTTCAAAGCAAGCTCCGATATTTGCAAAAAAGTTGAAAGAGAATTTTTGTTTTCAGCACCGCCATTTCAAAACAGACAACCCACTTTTTTCTGCGTCGAGTTAATTCAGTTCCCGTTTTTTGAATCCATTATTATTATTTTTTAGCAAAATGCGAATAAGATTATTGTCTTCATTTATTTATATTATTCTGTTGCATTTACAAAATACAGTGGCTATTTATAATGTCACACCTGTTTTAAACGCGGCTTGATGAAATCACTTTTCTTTCAAGTGATGTAACAAATCAGATATTTTCTTTGATGTTACCTAACATTTCAGACAAGAGGTTAAAATTAAGTTTAGGGGATGAATATGTTATTCAGACCATGTAATGTGATCAGATTTTTATTAGTTTTCGTTCGACTTGGCTGCGATCGAGCTCAACTTTTGATGGTAACACAAAAGAATTCTTTTTGATAAGAAAAGAAACTGATTCTCACGTGTCCAGGAATTAATTGAAGCCGAACGAACTTGTAATTTAATTTCAGCAGGTATTTTATAGAGGTTAAATTTTCCTAATCTAGGCAACAAAGAAAACCTTTTTTCACAAATAGATCCAATGCATGTTATACTTGTTTTACATTTACTTATCATGGTTCCGAATGGAGGTTTGAAAATAGACATTTTAGATGCTTTTTGTTTCCATTATTCTGAGATGTTTGAAAACGGACCATGAAATTTTCAAAGTTTTAATATATGTCATAAGTTGGTTGTTTAATTATTTATTTAACTATAAGCCTGAAAACAATTTATTATGATTAATTTCAAAAGCAGGGCAAAATATTAGTATTCAGAAAAATTTTGCTTTTTAAACAATAATTTATGATAGATTTATTTAAGCATTTTTGATAAATAACATTCTCTTGACCTCAAAATTATGAAAGATAATTCACCTACAGTCGTTCGTGATGGAGTTGTGTGTTTGAAAACTGAAAATTTGGCTTGCTTCGGAAAATTAATTCGCTTCCAGTTTTCTATATACCTGTACGCTGGGATTGAATTCAGATCAGACATCAAATCATATAGAATTGAAACACAGATAGAAATTTGCTGTGGCAAAGTGTACAGAATAAACTGACCACGCGAATTTTCATATCAAAATTTTAAAAAAAGATTGAGAAATTCTGAAACTTTTAAAGAGTTTTCTTTATAATTTCCATATTCAGTTAGTTTTAAGATCACAGAGGAAACTGATTTAGTAAATGAGCCATGAAAACCAGTAAATAAAAAATCAAAATAATGAAAAATCTAGAATATTTAGAATGGAAATTAATTTTGAAATTTCCAGTCTAAAAATCATCAGTCTGAAAACCTTAAAATTATGGACATGTTTAATCGCGACTAGAGGTGCTTCAAAATGATATATCATTCGGTTCATTCTGATGACCTATTGTGGTACCTGATTTTGCGTGGAAAATATAAAAAAACTAATGCACAATTGAAAACAAAGTTCCCTATTTTCAGTAGTCAGAAAAAAATCTTATCTTACCAATCTATGCATGCAGTGTATGAAAAAAATCTATAATAACAATTTTCATATGGAAAAATTGTAAAACCCGTTATTTTACATGACCGCAAAAAAATTCACACTTAAAATCAAAAATTGAGCGGAACAAAAATTCAGTCTTTCAAAAGTTTCTTAATCATTGCTATGCTCAAAGAAATGTTTTCCGAAAAAATTTTCATTTGGATTAACGTGGTTCAAACTCATTTTTCAAAAAAACTAGACTATTTGCCAGAAAATTTAAAATTGTTGTTCTTATGTGCTAAACTAAACCTAAATTTGACAAAAAAAAACAAATCCGATTTTAAACCACCAGAAAATTTCATATCGAAGCATTCTAGCCATTTCAAACAATTCAAATTTTGTAAAAAAAACTATTTGACATGCAATATATGAAATTACATGGCGATTTTGTCAAAGCGATTCACCTGAGCGGTTCTTGCCGCTTCACCTATTGGTATTTCTTTAATAAAAAAACTCAAGGTTATTTGTTTTTCCAAACAAAACACAAGTTTAAAGCAAAACTAGATTTTTTAAGCAAAAAATACTAGTCATACAATTGACATTTATGGAAAAATGTTTCTCATGCAATTTTCCTCATGGAAAAAACTTTCCTATTGTTTTTTGTAATGCGACAGCTCGCAACAAAAGACAACTCGCAAAGAAAGAGAACTTGTATTAAAAGACAACTCGCAATATACTCGCCTGCGCAGTTGCGCCACCATGTTGCGATCTTGCCAACAAAGGGTACGTTTTTATAAATAGTTAAGAACCGTGTATCTTAACCTAGGTTGCCAACAGGGGGTAAGATTTTTTTTTTACAAAATGTAAAGCCGGCTCTCTAAAATAAAAATCCAACGTTAAAAATTAAGTTTGAAACTTTGCGAGTTGTCGCTTTCCTTTAAATTTGCGAAAGGGCTTTCTTAACGAGTCTTTTGTTGCCACACTCACGGTACCAAGTTGTCATGGTACCAAGTCTTTATAAAACTTTCTGCAAGTATGGAAATGTATGAAATTGGATGATGAGCATTTTTAAATGAATGAAAACTGTATGAAAAGCACTTTTCTGGACTTTTTTAGCGTCAATTTTGGGAATCAAACATTCAAAAAAATTCTGCGAAAATTTTTTGAAATTTTTAACTAATTTTTTTGTTCATCTGGCCGTTTTTCTACACAACTATTTTCCAATTATCCTATTTTACTATTACCGTCGAATTTGCCTAAATTCTGCTTCTTCATTCAGATCTTTTTATCACAACTTGCAAAAAACTACTCTAATATGAAAAAAAACTGGCTATCCTTGTTTAAAGTATTAAATTATTAAATCTGGCTATTTATTTTAAGTCATTTCTAAAGACAAACCCTATAGTTAGATACGATTAGCTACAATGCTACGGCAAGCTCTAGGAAATCGACCGTACAATTTCCAAAAACTTCAATATTCTTATAAGGACTTACGTTTTGAGAGACATTTCAGAAAATACAAAAACAGAAAGAGAATGACTAAACTGAGATAACCAAAGTGATAAAACTAAAAATTGCAGAACGAGTAAGGTGGCTCAGGTTTTCTCCATTAGGCAAAAAGGGCGGAATTTTTTATCGGTCACTGCAATTAAAATCTACCGTAAGATTCAATTGTTTATCTGCTGGTAAGAAAAACAATCGGAGACGCTTTGTTTTGTTTAGATTAGGCGATAGCGCAGCAGTAGATAGAGCAATAAATATAAAGGAACTAAACGGATGCCGAATTCTGATACGGACAGAGAACCAATCGGTACTTTTTGTGCCAGGGTAAAACTGCGAGATTTTAAAGATGGTAATTTCCTGTAAAATAAAATTATCACCAACTCTAATAGTGACTTGTTAGTGCAGCTAGCGTGATGAAACAAAAAAAACAAGTCACGCCGAACTGATTTTGTAAGAGTCTTGTTGGAAAAGTTGTATAGCTATACTAGCTCAAAAAAGTATAATAAAATTAGACGTCCTCAAAAAAACATGAATTGGGATGTAAGATAAAAGAAGCGGAAAGAAAAATCTGGGTAAAAGTAATCAGAGCGATCTATCTGTTTCTCAGTTTTAAATGGGTCGCCGGCAACAAATTCGA